TTCATGAGATTTTGAATCTGAATCATTACATCAATCACCACGTCAGACATAACATCAACAGATAATTTAAATAAAATTAATTATATCGCATGCATGAAAAGAACATTAAACCTTTAAATCCACTCAAATTTACAACTTTCATATATTTACAAGCTTTCCTCTTCATAGCCTCTTCTCATAATGTTGTGTTCAATCAAAGAGTGGCCCGAAGAGGACGGTAATTTTAAGCGCCCCTTGTTGAATCTATTCCTTCACATAACCTGTTCTAGATACCCCCGTGGCTATGTTCTAAATAGCACATGGTCCTGAATGCTATTTAGAAAATGAAAATTTACCTTTTCCTTTTACCCAGATTGCAAAATACATGTGTGCACTATAATATCTATGCAAGCACGGTGAGTTATTGAAGGATATTTTCCATTATATGTGTTATCTAGTACTGGTAATTCTTAGTGTTGATCGAACAAAGGTTAAGAGTAACTGATATTTAAGCTAGAAGACGTAGCAATTGGTAGCTGATATGAAGAAACAAGGTTTGGAAGTTGAGTTTGTAAAGGAAGTTGATAGGGGTGCCCACTATCAAGGTCCAAGAGAGATGATGTGTTTGTGGAAGGAACTCCAGGAGACAGAGAGCTAGATGTTGTGGTAATCCATAAGCAAAGGCATATGAGACTCAAGGACTACACTGTTTTTAGATGCTCCAATGATCAATATCTACAGTTTCAACAAGAGATAAATGATAAGGTGTAACAACCACGTAAGCATGTGGTGGTTGAGCTTGAGAATAAATTAGCAAGACGGGATAGTTGACTTATTAATCACCAATATCTATTTGCCTTTATGAATTCTAATTAAGTGAAGGAGAAACCATACCGAATAGTACTAATCTTTTTCTTAAATTTCGCGCAAAAGAAATGTGTTTTTTGTTGAGCTTGAAACATACTTGTATAATACACACGAGACAATTGGTTACTGACTATGTGTTATGACCCTCAAGAAATAGAGAAGAAAATAGACGAAGAAGAGAAGAAAAGATGAGAGAATAGACGAGAGAATATAGATTCAAGAGAAGAAAAAGTTCATTCTTTTCACACATAAAAACTATATTCTACAGTACATGTTATTTAATCACAATCACTAGGTTTCCTCCTATTTTGGCTTGGGCTTTATCTTAAGGCCCTTGTTTCCCTTCCTTTTCTTCATGTTAATTTTCCCATGTGAGTCACATGCTCCCCTTTTAATTCCTCTTTATCAAAATTCCCCAATTCACTACGTGCAATCCCTAGCTCAATCCCTAATTCATTTTCTAAATCCCTAATGCCTTTCGCTTCGTGCTTCTCATCCTCTCTCCTCACCGTGACAATTTCTCCCCCTTTAGACGATCCTTGTCCCCAAGGATCAAAGTATCGAATTTGTGATAGCAAGACCACAAAATCCTCTGAAGTTGTGATGTCAATGAACCCAGACTTTGGAGCAGCACTCCATTTACTGCAATATTTATCTAATGTTGCACTTGTAAATACAAATGCGTATTCTAACACACTTCTCGTATTTAAGTTAGCCTTGTACAAAAGATCTACAACTTCTGCATGTTTTGACATTGTATATAAGGAGGTTGGATTTGGACACCTAGGGTTCGACACCATTACAGCTGTAGCTAATTTGAAGAGGTTGACAACAGGGTTGTCTCCACCATTTTGTGAATACAATGTTTGCCCATATGCACTAGGAAGCAAACCCAACCAAGCTGTTGTTTGCATGAAATGTGTGGTATCCAACTCTCTTAAAACAATATCAAGGAGCCCCATCCAATATAATACACTCCCAATCTCCTTTATTCCGCGAAGAACTTCTGCTTTGAGCTATGGTTTTGTTCCCCAGTTGAGTTAATCTTTAACGAGCCTCATACATCCTGTCACACCCCCATTAAAAGGAAGAAGTCCAATTGATTTCGGCAGTGCTTCTTGCAAGCATGTGATCATAGGCTCAAATGTAGCAATCTTGTTTGATATATGATCTAGCAGTGCTTGAATAAGCCACGATAATGACCTAGATCCTAGAAGTTTAACAACGGAAATCATGTGTGGAATCCCAAAAAATCCACTATGTAATCGCGCAAAACTTTGATGTGCAGAATTTAAATCTTGAGTACCACAATAGAAGTTTGGCTTGGCATGTGGAACTGATGGCTTTTGTACATGAGCAAGAGGAATTTTTGAAGATCGAATAAAATGCTGAGTAGTATTGCAAAGGATAAAGTTTGGCAGAAAATCATTTTGCATCTCAGACCAAATCTAAGAAGCTAGTCGACTATAAAATGACACAAGAGATATGTTCTCCTACATCTTCCTTGCCTGCCGTTGCCGCTGCTCCAACCGTAACTTCTCTGAATTTGCCATCTCATACTCCCCATTCTCCAAATACCTTTGATCAGGTCTCAGCCTTGAATCAGTTGGAGGCAACTTTTCCTTCAGACCAGGAGTTAGCTCATTCAAAGTGACGGCAAATCGTATTAAGTTATATCTGGTGGGATATTTAGGGGAATTGCTCCACTTCCAAAGTGTATGAGTTTATGAGAAAGACTCTTGTCCTTTTCCCTTTGCATAATAATCTCCAATCACATAATGCATGCTCTCATCCCATTTTCCCAATAATGAAGCCACTGTCCTTCCATTCCTATCTTGAACTATACCATGTACCTGGTGATCACAGTACAACTTTCCCAGGATGGGATTGTATATTGACGTTGGCACCTTACTCCATTGGAACACTTCTCCATTGTCAAACTCCAAGGTCAAAACACCGACTGGATCCAGCTGAATTGAGCGACCCCATAACTTATTTTTTAAATTACTATCACCCCACAATTTCCATCCTGTGCCCTAACAGTGACATGCTACAATCATATGGTGATGACTGACCTTCTATGAGAAGAAGCGTAAACCTTTATCAGGGAAGTCAGCTTCATATGTTTCTCCTAATAATGGATTGAAGGGTTTACAAATTCTTCCTTCTGTTGAAGAATATGCAGACTCAGCAAATGCAGCTACATTAAGAATTCTCATGAGATTATTCCCCCTTTTCCACCATCCATATGCACGGTTAAGCAGATATGAATACTCCAAATCCTCAAAACACTTTTAAAGAGAATATAGAGGCTCATTGAAGTATACATGAAGACAAACTTGTGTGAGATCTTTCCCAATATTATCCTTAATCATTGACCAAAGACTAACACCTTTCTCTTTTTCAACGGGGTCAGGCAACTTTTTTCGGCGTTTCATGTAAGGAAAGTTACTTCCCACTGATTTAATGCAAGGATCAATGTCATCTTCAGAATAAAAGGTATTAAAACCATCATATGAATAGAAAGATGATGTCCAGAAATATGATCCATTACTTTTGAAAGGGCTTGATAACAAAAAAATACTAATATCAAAAAAATTATGCTCATCCTCATCAGTATCTTCTTCTGCAACATCAACTCTTTCATTATCCTCATATGTGTAAGTTACACTTCCTTCTGGCTTCTCAAACCATGGAACAACTCTTAATGATTTTCCATGGCATTCACGCTGCAGGAACTCAAGAACATCAGAAGGGGCAATTGTAATTGAAATGGCGTATGCTCCAAAGTTGTTTGCTGGAAACTCTGCCAAGATACTGATTGTATCCAAAACAGCACCATTTTCTTCTGTTATAGGAAGATCAAAACCAAACAACAGACGTTTTCCACTTGGTTCAGATATTATCCATTCCATCTTTTGTTCTTCAGACCACCCACGGTCGGAACCAATTTCCAAGTGTTGGGTACTAGTGATGGATGGCATTTTATCAAACACTTGACACCCATCATTTGTGCTTTCGATTGCCACAGGTATCGACTCCGTTTCAGGGTTGTTTTGGTCTTGCTCCATCGTCTTTCATGTCAAGACCCTTAGAATCTGCTTGAAATAACCCTTATTATTTGCAATCCTTGTCTCCAGGTACTGATCTTGCTTCACCAGCTTTGGTAATTCGTCAATCTGGTTTTGAATTGCAGAAAGAGCAGAGGATTCAACCATTGCTTTGCTAGGAGTTGTGGCTCTGATTACCAATTTGTTATGACCCTCAAGAAATAGAGAAGAAAATATACGAAGAAGAGAAGAAAAGATGAGAGAATAGACGAGAGAATATAGATTCAAGAGAAGAAAAAATTCATTCTTTTCACGCATGAAAACTATATTTTGTAGTACATGTTATTTAATCACAATCACTAGGTTTCCTCATATTTTGGCTTGGGATTTATCCTAAGGCCCTTGTTTCCCTTCCTTTTCTTCATATTAATTTTCCCATGTGAGTCACATGCTCCCCTTTTAATTCCTCCTCTTCATCAAAATTCTCCAATTCACTACGTGCAATCCCTAGCTCAATCCCTAATTCATTTTCTAAATCCCCAATGCCCTTCGCTTCGTGCTTCTCCTCCTCTCTCCCCACCGTGACACTATGCAACTTGAAACGTAGAATATATTTACGTGTCTCAGACCAGGGCTCAGGATGAAAGGTTGTGACCTTACGCTTTGTATGTACTAGTACTTAACAAGAAAAAAGGGTGTTGCTCTAGGACCGGCCAGGTGGGGAACATTGTAGGATACCACATCAGTTGTTGTGATTTTAAGTGGGCGGCTTTGGCCGTAGAGATGGTTGTTTTGGTCCTAGACATGGGTTGCTGATGACTACTGACTAGGAAGGCCAATAATTGTGAACCGGATGCATCCCTTTCTTCCTACTAAAACCAAATCTCATATACTGATCTTTTCCCTGCCTTAAAATGCGGTTTAAGAATGGAACACAAGATATAGAGAGCCCACTGCAGTTAAATTCGAAATTGGCTCATTCTAAAACTGGTTAGATATCTTTAGGAAGCTCATTTAATGGGGCCAACATGTTTTCCTTGAAAGCCACTTGAGAATCTATCCTAACTTACTGCTGAACATATAATTATATAGCATCCATTAAAACAGGAACTGAAAATTACTTTGGGTGGGAAAAAAACATAAATTTTATTACACAGAAATAAAAAGGTATGTTAGAAATGAATCAGTAGCTCCTTTTCCTCTTTGTATTTATTGCTCCACAGACAATAAAAGTGGTGATTAGACACAGTCGACTACAATGAACAAAAAGTAACAATTAAATCTGAAAAGCTAACCAAGCTCAATCATTGGGGCTCGGGTCATGTTTCATGCAAGCTTCCATTATCATTAATCTGGTCCTCCTTTGCAGTGTTAGTATTATCGTTGTCCCCGTCCAATGTGCAGCTTTGATCCTCGGAAGATGAAGCTGTGAGACAAAACAACACATGGGCCAGATATTGTCATGTTACTGGGACTTAAATATAAATTTCAAACATGGGTATATGTCAGAGTATGTATCATGCAGCTGTTTGAAATTTAGAATCGATTACTCTTCACCTTCTTCATTTTCATCTGCTGCAGGTGCATAAGCAGAACGTCTTGAGCGCATTTGCTGGTGTGGGGAGGGCTGGGAATCACAAAACAAGCAGTTAGTAAATTTAACAAATGAATCCTTCATTTTTACAACATATTTGCATATAAAATATATTCAAACATAGATACAATGGTATGATCCACCAAATATATTAAGCATACTTGTGTCCAACACAGTTCGACGTTCACCCCAATCCGGAAACCTTAAATACTAGAGACGATCATATCTTATCATACAGTCAAACATTTGAGAGAATTCCAGGTTTTCTAACTTTGGTTTATTGGTTTGAAAGTATAGGAAACTCATAGCAATACCTGTAATTTGGGGCGTAATGCTTCAAGTGGTCCTTTAGGCTTTTGTGCTCCTTGCTGTTGAACATGTGACAAACACATCAAAATTTGGAACCATAATTGTCATTCAATATCAAAAGACAAAACAATTTAGAGTTACGCCATACTACCTACACTTTACCTTTCCGAGAGCCCAATCAGCTGAATCGAAAAATGCACGGTCATGGTTCTATCAGACAATTCAAATGTTTCTGTCAGCAACCTCTCCATTTAGTAAACATATGGAGAAGAAATATGTCACCCGAACTCTCTATTAATAATAAACATATCCATATCCATATTGGACGCAACAAGAGTCCGGATAACAGAGGAGAGTAATAGTAGTCAAAGCAAACAAACCTTTGATATTAAAGTTGTTTTTTTAGGTAAAAATCCTCCATACTTTTTCTTGATTGCTTCTTCCTGTAAAAGTCAAAGCAAAAGAATAAAAAGTTCACTGTTGATATATATATATATATATATATATAACCATGCAATATTTTTGGTCAGTGGTAACAATTTTTTTTCAACTTTCATTTTACCTCCTCTCTGGCTGAGGGCATCAGATTCTTTTCATTTTCGTTTTCATCTTCATCTTTCAGCTCTTTTGATACAGAAAATTCTTCACCAAAGATTTGATATTTTTCATCATCGACTTGAATTTTTTCACTTTCATTCATCCCTTCCTTCTCCTTTACATCCTCAACGCCATTAGTTTGTGACATATTTGAGGCTATTTTTTTACAGTCAATTGCTGTTCACTGTAAAAAAAATTAAGAAGAAGAATAAGAAGCAAAGAGTCCATATGAGTTACAGAGTTGAAGGTCAATTGGAGCCAAAGTTGTCGCTTTTGATCACTAACCAATATTAACACTACTAGAAGTAGAAATAAGCAAGACCCACAATACAAAATTTTAACAAAAATATTGTTGGAAGTATAGGTGATTACCTTATGAACGATCCAAGTTGGAAGGCTGACGGGAAGAAGAGAAGGGTTTGATTACCGACTTCAATCTACTAAATCTTTTTTTAACCATAGCATCAACATGAAGCCTGAAAAATACGCAGGGAACATGTCTTTCATGGTGGGGTAGGGGTAAAGGTGTTGGGCTGTTACATGGCTTGGGTTGGGTTAGAATCTCAACTGGTTTGAAACAAGGGCCTAAATTCTGTCTACCACTGTTTTTCCAGAGTAATCTCTATTAATTCTATGAAAAAATGAACTTTTTCTGCCCATTGTGCTTTCAATGTTTGTGACCATAAAATGATAGTTGGGGTCACCATATCAGCCCCCATAGCTTTCACAAGATCAGCAGATGGTCCCCCAATATCCACCATTGTCCCATTCTCATTACATGATGACTAGAATTATCCCTCCCTATGTAATATCATCCTTAACTCTTCGGATATCTTCATTTAATCCTTCTTATTAATCTGCGTGTGAACTACTTTATGCTTGAGCATGAGATTATTTAGGACAATGATGATCTAGCTCAGTTGGTAGAGAACAAAACTCTTAATCTTGTAGTCGTTGGATCGAGAGAGCAATTCATAACGGAGGTCTTCCACGGAAGCTGCTCTCAACCTGATGTTGGTGGGGTAGCCTACTACCCTACCTCCCTTTACTCCATTACATATGGGAATAGGGTCAACTAATTATGATCTAGCGAGCAAATTGTCAAATTGGTAAAGCAATGGATAGGCATCAAAAACTAGTTGAGGGTGTGACTAGGATGGCAGATATTCAGTAGGATAAAGTAAGCTTTTCCTTTTTGTACAAAGGAAGCGGCAGTCCGGGAATAGAAAAGAGGGTTGCAAATACTCGATATTAGGTTTTAAAAGATATTGCATTAACCAACTAGATTAAGCTGTGGGTTCATATTATGTTCTTATCACGTGAATGAAAATAACACTGTAGGGCTTGACTATGCTGAGTGCAGGACGCATGCAGTCGTCACATTCACTCGCTGAAGGCCTTCATGTATATATATATCTACCTCATTCACGCTCATATGGCACCCATTGTTCTTCACTCTCTTTTCTGCAGAATAATTGTATCATCAAGCCTCCATTTCACAGTCCTCCAATAAAAGAAATTCTCTTTCATAGAAACATTTCTTCTTCTTTTCAGCAGAACGAAGCTAAAAACTATTAGCTTTGTTGCCTAAAACATACTCTAATTCATTATGGTCTTGCTTTTAGTTCCCAAAAACAGGTCAAGCTCATGAAATCTCCCTTTTTACTAGGTTTAGTAAAACTACAAGTTGTTTCACCATTGCTGGATCAATACCAGATCTCATCTAAGGTCTAGCATGTATAAATGAGGTAAAGTACTGCAGCCAAGGATGACTTGCCGGGCATCTAGTTTATCTCTTCCATATATTATGGTATTTTTCTGGATTAATATCTATAATAATATTTTATCATGAAGTCATTAAGTTAATTTTGTCGCCAAAGATTTGAATTTTTCATTGGAATACTATTGAGAAGCTAAAGTTCAGCGTGTAAGACATAAGTGAAACAAACCTTTGGTGGAGATAACATCGATTCGGCAAGTTGTCATTGGCTACAATTCTATCTCATTTTTACATGTTACATCTATGATGATAATAGAATAGAAATGCTGAAGAATATGGAGCACTTTCACATGATGGTAGTGGAGGAGGTTCAAACCATGTGGCCGAATTGAATCACCTTATGAAGTAAGTTTCTATGCTGATGTGTGTAAAAATATATATGATTTAGATCTAACATTGCATTCATTTTAGCATGTTTGAATGCTAATATCGTACAAAACAACTGTCTGGTGTTTGCATATATGGAAATTTCATAATCACAAGATAATTTCCATTACAAGAATGCTAGCAATGTTCTGCAATTTGCAGTAAGTTTCAAGATATTGCATTCAGAGAATCTAAGATGCCAAATTTGTAGGGCCTTAATTTGGTCCTTATCATCCGCTTGGGTTCCAAGTGTATGGAAGGAAATAAGCAACGTACATGGTCTAACGAGACTAGTGTTTCTGTACAAAGACATCATTGCATCAACTCATGTCCCCACCCCGCACCCCTATTCCCACTTTTTCTTTTTTGGTTTTTAATGCTGATGCAGCTCGGACCAATCAATCTCATTCACTTTATTGTTCTTCGGAAAGGGACAAATGCAATTAATAGGCCAAAAGGGGTCATTGCCTGGTTTAAAACAAATTAAGATTGACTGGTTTTAGGTTACGGGAAATAGAAAGTTCTTGCCACAAACAGAAGATGTTTGCTAGAAGCTGTCATGACTTGCAACTTAACCCTTTTTTAACCAGGAATGCTCGGGATCCCCAGAAAAAAATGACGAATCTCTATTGTATGATTAGATGTAGCACTTTCATGAATGAGATTACCAATGTTTAGGACTTGAAAATATTTTTGTTGATGGACATGATACTTTGATTTATTTCTTGCCACAAAACGAACAGCTATTTGCTAGAAGCTCAGAGGAGCTGTAGTACGACAACCCTTATCACCACGAACGCTCTTACATCATTCTGCAAAATATGTTTAAAATGCTAGGAAAAATGTTGAATCTCTTATGTAAGAGTTCCTTTAGCACTTTTTTGACCACAATTGCGAACTTTGAGGACTTGAAATCAACAGATAAACCAAATAAGGCACAAGAAAAATGCTTTCGTTTTGAATACATATTTTGTTGCTTTCCAGTGAGGTGAGGAAAAACAGGACACATTGTTAAACGTAGCTGGCTGCAGTCACATGTGACATGCATAAAGTTTAACCAGACAGAGATTCAACATTCAAAGCCCTAGTGGAGGGTCCATCTCTATTATACAATCTGCTGTACGGAAAATAAAATTATTATTAGGCTGAGATTTTAGCCAAGATTCTGTGCTGATGATTTCAGTCATTCAGTCATATAAGTTACAGTGTCACGACATAAAGACTCTTCTTTACGTCTCTCCTTTAGTTCATGTTTCATAAGGAATAATAATCACCATTAACGTCCATAAATGAGAACTTCAGGGCCTTGATAAAGATAACAAGCCGTCTTTGATACTGCATTAATATCATATAAGACTAGTTTCCGATGAAAAACACTGAATTTAACAAAACACTATCTCTGAAAATTCACCTAATCTCCACTTTGATTATGTTCTTTTTACTGGAGTCTAAGAGAAAATCCATATGTATTTTGTTTAAACCTGTATATCTTTCACACTGCTTCATCTAGTAATTAGTTGCAGCAATAGTATGAATTTAGGACCACTTCAGCCTGGTGTAGCATTCGACAAGGCGATTACATCAAAATTGATCGGTGGGGTCGCTATGCTGTAATCCATACTGGACACTAGGGAGTGCTATAGCCATAGCAACAGCCAGCCGACTACTGAAAAACGCTTCCTCCTAATCTCTCATTCCATCTAATTAAATGCTGAATATATCAACACAAGGAGAAGGTTAATGTCATTCGAAACTTGCCAACATTTCAACCCCTTCTCCAAGTGCAATTTTGGAACATTTATCGGGTCTTTTGCAGCCGTCTTGTAACACCCCCAACCCGTATCCGACCCAGATACGAATTCGATGTGTCATATTGACTTTTCAAACCGATTACTTTTAAAATTGTTGAACATTTAAATTTTTATATGTATAAAACTGATGGAACCCTTAATCAAAAGTAAATAAAGGAAGTTCAAACTTAATTTAAAATGATAAACACAATAATTTACATAAATACAATAAAGTTGTTCATAAAACTGATAAAAGCATATGCGATACAACCTTTAATTACATGCCAACTACATTCAGTACAACAAAATACATCTGATTCAATTTGTTTCTGATATGATCTTCGAAAATAAGAAGCTGACCTGACTTGCCTAACTTTGCTCCTTTTGCTTCTCGGAACCTACGTGTAAAACACTCACATACTAAGTCTTTGACTTAGTGAGACATATAATGCATAAATGAAACATTAAAACATGAAATCGCATAGTTAGCTTTATAACATAATACGTACAAAAACTATCAAACACTTCACCTCACAAGGACATGTACTACTATGGACTGTTCATTCACATTATTTCCTTTAATATCCAATGATACATTCTTGATAAATAAAATTCACAAGTACTTAAATAAATTCTAAATCTATAATAACATCATATCAAGAAACCATGGAACCTATCATATAACAAAAGCATATATGCATATTTATACATATCATCATCATTGACATAATTATTATTATCATTATCATTCACCGTTCATTTATATCTTTTCTTTTAAATAGCCCAATTATATCATTGAGAACTTAAGGTATGTGAGTGCATTGAGGTTGTGCACATATGCTGTCACCACAACTCGTATAAATTACACTGAAGTGTTGTGTAGAAATTGCATCGAAGTGCCACATAGAATGCCCCGAAGGACTACGTAGAAATGTCCCGAAGGACCGTGTAGAACCCTCGACTCTTGGCATGCCAATTATACCCTCAGCTCTCATATCACATTTATAGGCTTTACCATTATATAATTTATTATATCTTATTTCACATAGACAATTAATCACGTAGATCATGTCACATGGCTCATATCATATGTTTATGTAAACCCATAAATCATATCACATGGCTAAGATATTGTTCTCATATCTTCACATAGATCATATAAAACATATATCCTCGTCACATAACTTATAATACATGTCCATATATTCACGTAGTTCAATTTCACATATCTTATATCACATGTTCATATAATAGCTTAGATCAATAACACATAGCTTATCTTACTTTTTCACTTAATCATGTAAGTCCATTATATTAGTTCACATAGATTATCACACAGTCATGTACTTACATAACTCATGATCATATAGTTTATATCACAATTTCCACATACGTACATAGATCATATCACATAAATCAATATCATATAACAGAGAATATAACAATACATGTTCATATACTAACAGCTACCAACCCTACTTATATTTATATAAACCTAGAAACCATATTAACAACATATTAATATTCATGTAATCATGAAAGCAAAACATTGGAAACAGACTCATCACAAGTCTAATTTCCATATAATCATATACCATAGTAACATGCACTCACCTTGGCCTCACTAGTCAAAGCAACACTTCTAAATCTTATCTCATTGACTCGTTTGGTACTTGCTTTCGTTCGTTATATACACAATACATATAATCGATATGAATGTCTTAATTCGAATCACTATAATCAATTTTTATTATCATAAGCTAAACAAAGCACTCAATTCACCAATTCTATATGAATAGTATCGATACCCAAGGTACAACACCGATACTTCCTTACTGTGGTATCGATACTACACTTAAGTATGGATACCCTCTTAACATTCTGGAATTTAAATATAAAAATGGTACTAATACTTGACCATTGGTATTGATACCCCTAATACCGATACTACTACTTTGATATCGATACCCAGACCCAATTATCACCTATATTTACTTTGGAGTATCGATACTGTTCATCCAGTATCGATACTGTTCATCTAGTACCGATACCCCTTGCCCATAACTTATTCATTTAACCCGAAAATTTTCCAAAACTTTGCTAACTTCCTCATTTTACTCTTCTTTAAAGCCTTTAAACTAAACTACACTTACCCAAATCAGCTTATATCATTTTAACACATCTTAACATCCAATAACTCACATATTCACTTGAATTCAAAAATCATACCAATTTATCAACATGTTCCAAATTCGTTTATAACACTTTAATTTTCTTATTTTAACTTATGACAAATCAATTTTCACTTCAAAATTCATTTACAAACTCTCTCTCAATAATTTACCTAAAAACCCTTTATATTCAATCTCCCATAACTTGTAAATATTTTAGTTTTTATTTCTCTTTAAACTTCTTTAAACTTTCTTAACACTTCAAGAATCAAAACCAAATTAAAAATAAAAGGAAACATTAACTTGACACCAACTTACCTTACCAATGGAGTCACAGGAGGAGAAGCAGAAGAAAACTGAACCAAAGTCTCCAGATTTTTTTCCCTTCATTTCCTTTACCCACGTGGATATATATAACACCAAACAATAGCTTTTTAATTATGTCCTTGTATAATGACCATTATGCCATTTCAACTTTCAAATTTGCTATTCAATTTTACACCAAGATATTACAATTAAATCATTGAACTTTTTAATTTTTCGAAATTGAGCACAAAGTTTTGAAAATTTACATTTTAGTCACTAGTCCGGTTTTTGGGATATTACAAGTCTTTGTGTTTATACTAATAAATCATTGCTTCAGCTATAGTAACTACTAGTGCTGAAACTGCATGCAACAGTGAGGACTGGAGTGCACTAAAAATAAAAAGCTCTGGCGCTTCCTTTACTACGGTTTGTAGGGGAGCTGGTTTTAGGATTTTAGTTTGTTATGCAATTGTGTTTTCTTTTAACTGTCAAAGATTGTCTGTAAAAAATCTATAAATTACAAAAGCTGCAAAAGTGAAAGTATTCTCACTACATTGAACCTTCGGCATTCCTCATATACTGTACGAACAAAAGCCGCGAATTATATATATATATATATAATCCTAAAACGAGTTATTGATCACTGTATCTGTGTTGATGAGCCTGCTTTAGTGGAATGTAAAAAACTTGACGATTTCTCCAACACGTCTCTTCTCATATTATGTAACCTCTCAGCTGTATATGTAACCTCTTTACATGCATGCAACATTCGAGCATTTAACCATTTGATTCAGTGACAGACACATATGCATCTATTGAAAACGGATTCGGCCGGTCAATCAAAGTTATGTAATATCAGCAGTAGATGCTACTCCTATAGATATGGCATACTTCAAAGAATTCTGCAGCCGATTAATGCTTGCTCAAGCAGCATCCACTCGAGCAAGAAAACAAACCCACATTGATTAGTTAAGCAAGAACCATTATTCCTTTAGTAATATGTATTTTTTAAGTATAAATCAGGGGGAAAATTCCATCAAAGAAGAAATATCAGAACTAGAATTTCCCCTTCAAATATAAAAGAAAAAAGTTCAAATTATTCAGTTTGTCCCTGTATTATGAGAAAGCTAGTTTGGTCTTTTGTAGTCTTGTATATTTCAGATCTTACAATCTCGATCTTTTCTCCACGAATTGCTGTGTTCTCTAATTTTATCATTTAAAACCCTGTAATTTAGCAATATAGTGTCTATATTGTTTGATTTAGGACTGAAATTTTAAATTTTTTAAAAAATATAAGATCTAAAATTAATCAAATTAAAATATATAGACTAAAGATATAATTTATAAATAGTTGAGAACCTAACAACAAATTTGACCCAAAAAAGGCGTTGAATAAACAAATGGTTCTAATCGAGGCCCATGGAAGGAGAGAGATGGTTTCTTAAAAGCCCGCTGTTAAAGACAGCAGACTTGGTATGAAAAACAAATAAAAGCCTACTTTCTCAATCCTTCGCTATTTATTCTCCAGCTTCAAGTAATCTTTAAAAGTCACCCTCCTTTATTCCTATTCTCTATGCATTAGGGTTTGCCGATTGCATTTCCCCCCCTAATTTTCAACTTGTTTTCGCCCATCGCTTTTGTAATTTCCCATTCCCTCTTCTTTCTTAATCTTTTATTAGTCGATTTTCATTGAAAAGATTATTGTTTTCTAGCTTCTGCGCTTATATGGAAAACGCATTGAATTGTTTGTTATTTTCTTTTATTGTTTCATTGACATTGCTTTGTGTGTTGTTTATTGCAGATTTACTTTAGTTTTAATGTATTCGTCCAGAGGGACGAATGCCTACGGGCAGCAGTCCTACGTTGGCCAATCCGGATACTCCCAAAATGTGAGCCTTTTATTTAGTTATTTCTTGTTAAAGATACCTTTTCAAGATCCTCTTTTGTAATTCTTTTCTAATGGTCTTGTTTTAATTTTGTTATGTATTATGAGGGGATGGAATGGAACTGATTTTGAAACGTTATACTGGTTATTTTTGTGAGAAAAACAGATAAATTATACTTGTTTTTAAATTCACGTCATACTTAACCCTTTTTTTTAAAATTATTATTCCAAAATATTTACTGTAGCTGTATGTATCAAGTATTTATTGGATTTTGAGGTGTGGCAACCAGCAATTTAAATTGCTGTTGAAGCCAGTTTTCAGCCCTGGTGCTTTTATTGCTATTGCGGTCACTATGGGTAGCACCGCCCTGAATGTTACCTAATTGTAGAACATAATAATTGTGGGATAATAATAGAGTTGATTTTTTTTTTAATTTTACCGTAATGGAACAATAACTGAAATAGCAGCCCACAATTGCTGCACTTTGGCCCTTAACTGTTAAATTGAGGCACCAATCCACTGCTATTGGTGTGATTCTGCTTCACACCGCTATTTTCGGCGGTGCCACTACGCTAATATTCCGCTGCCTGGCCTCTATTTAATTCCTGGTGGCAACGCTTCTAAATTCCTGGATTTTCCCTGACAATAGCACTTTATAGCATGTGTAATAACTAAAGACTTATCATGGGTCTGATTTTGTTTACAATTTTGGGCAAAATTTTGTAGTTGGGTGCTGCTGATTATTCTGGTAGTTCTGTTGGAGGACCTGATGGCAGAGCTCAAATGTCATTATCTTCTCGCCATTCATCAATTTTAGGTAGTTCTCAAGATGCAGAAGTTGGTGGATACAGAGCCCTTCCCTCAGTTTCAGCTCATTACGGGGGTCAGTATAGCTCTATATATGGCACAGCTGCTTTAAGTGCTACTCAGCAGGTTGGTGGGATGTTTTTCTTCACCTATGTATATGATATTGTCACTTGTAAATCTTCATTTTTTTTTACTTGTTAAGACTTACCATAGATGTTCAGGGACAAGATTGGTTTCAATTGCTATATGTTGTTTTTCTTTTCCTTGGGAGTTTATGATAAGCACAAAATAGTTAAATTTGGTAATGGAAAATATTGTTAGATTGTATTGAATGGAATTTGAATTTGATGGTTTTTTATATGCACTAGGTTCCAGCTGCAAGTTCCAAAGGGGCTGGAGCATCAGCTTTGGAAACTCGTAATGCTTATGCCTCAACTCTGCAAGATTCACCAAAATTTGCATCTACTGGCTATATTTCATCATCAAGTCACGGTTATAATCACAAAGGTGATCAAATGTATGCCGATAAGATTCCTGACTATCCTACTGTGGAGAGAAGACAATTTGAAGAACGAAAGGGTGGTTATCTGGGGAGGGATTTGCCTAGTGAGCCAACTGGAAGATATTCTGATTCTATTTTTGGTCATCAGCATCAGGTCAAGCTATTTCTTGATGTCCTGGATATAAATATGCTCCACCCTTCTCCATTTTGTAATATTGTTCCGTGCTCTCCTTTGTTTTAAATCTTCTGTAACAGCCTGACATATATGATCGTCTTGATCAAGCTGTCTTACTTCGACAAGAGCAATTGCTCAAATCTCAATCAGTCTCCCATGATAGTAGTTCAAGGTATTTATCACTTTTGTAGAATATTTACTGTACAATTTCCAGTTGAAGATGTTTGTGCATAACAGCAACAGATTTTCACTTGTAGTAATATTGTTGTGAATTTGATATGTGGCCAAGGCCAACCTTCTCATCTTTTATGGTGATAGTCTGTTGACTGTTTGTTAGACGGCAATATATTGCTTACTAGACTGAGTAGCAACACATTTCTGGCAGACAAGCTGATTATCTTGCAGCAAGGAGTGCTGCTACTCGTCATTCCACCCAAGATCTTTTGTCTTATGGAGGAAGATTAGATGCTGATCCTTGCATTTCATCATTGATGAGCTCTTCTTCTTATGGTGGACAAACCCCTTCGATATTAGGGGCAGCTCCAAGGAGAAATGTCGAGGATCTCATGTATCCGCCTAGCTCTGCAAATCCTGGTTATGGTGTGAGCTTACCACCTGGTAGAGATTATGGAACAAAGGGGCTTCATGTCACAACCCTTGAGTCTGAATATCCTGGTAGTACATTATCACGCAGCGGTCATCCTAGGATTGATGAACGCAAGGACGACAGGGCTGGTTACCTTAGGGAATTTGAGATGAGAGAGGAGGAACGTCGTCGTGATCATTTGCGTGAAAGAGAGAAAGGCAGAGAGCGGGAACGAGAGCGGGAACGAGAGCGTGAACGACTACGAGAACGGGAACGAGAACGTTTGCGCATCTTGGAGCGGCGGGAGAAGGAAAGAGAGCGGGAGAAGGAGAGAGAACGAGAGCGCAAGCGTGCACTTGACGTTCAGCGTGAAAGAACTCCGCCAAGAGTTTCTAGGGATCACCGTGGTCCATCTTTGACAAAAGAGGCTCGACCTTTGAGGCGAGAATCCCCACGTCGTGAAGTTTCGCATAGGTGGATCTTGATGTTTTTCATTCCATCCTGCTCTAATTCTGAATGTTTAGCTCCTTATGTTTCTCAGTCTTCACAACTAACTTCATGTTCTCTATTGCTGAAGGCGTCTTTCACCTGTTAAAGAAAAAAGGAGAAATTATATATGCAAGGTAAAAGGACAGTGCAAGAGTTTCCATTCGAAGATAGTTTGAACTTCTTCAAGAATTTGCCTTTTTCCTTTTGGAATCTGATTTATATCTTAAATCTTCCTGTTATTGCTCTTTCACGAGCATTCAAATCTTCTGCTACTTCCTGTTGGTATTTGCCTCATGGCCTGCGGTGCTTGTTGCTTGGTTCCTAAACCTAGAGAATTCTTCATGTGCTTATGTGCTGTTGCTCACTTTTATGAGTGTGTTGTTTGACCTATTGTCTCCGGGCACCGATTATGATTCTTTACTTAGGTTTCAATTTTCTCCTTCAATCCTCTAATTTCTTTGGTTGTTTTCTTTTCCACATTCTCTTATCCTTTCCTTATTGAGTAAACACCGTATACCTTCTATGGAGACTTTCAAAACTTTCAGAGCTTCCTGGGTTTATATCGGCAGACTGCTCTAAACAGTGGTGGTTCGTTGCAACTCAGTTTTCCAATTTATGAAAACTTACCCCTTTTCTAGAGGATTTGTTGAACTTTTCTGAGTTGGAGGCCTTTTCCATTATATTTTCCTGTAATATTGATATGTATTTTTTCCCCTTTTTGTATACGCATGCCATTTGTAATGTTCTTAATCCTTTTAGCAATGTTCTACTTACTTGCAGGTATATTCATCCAACTTGACAGATGTAGAGAGAGGCTATTTATCAATTGATAAGCAATGTCCAAGACTTTTTGTGTCTCCTGAATTTTCAAAGGTCTTTTCCTCTCAAAATTCAGTTGTGCATTAAATTTGCTTTCTTAGGCATTCTGTTTTACCAGACATCTTCAACTATTGTAGGTTGTTATAAACTGGCCAAAGGAGAATCTTAAGCTCTCCATGCATACTCATGTCAGGTATCACTCCTGGATGTCTTTGTTACTTCAACTCTCATTGATTTCTTGGTTTTCTTTCTAAAGAATGAAGGGGTTTTGCCATCATGGATGTAGATTTTTATCCATGAGCTGTTAATTTCTTAACCAATTAATTATTTTTGCATGTGAATGCATTGTTTTACATGAAGCTTGGACTTTTGCTTTGTGGAATAACAAAAAATTCAGCCAAGTATTAGTTCTCAAAACTTAAGTAGCTTTGGAACCCCAATTAGCTTCCTTCCCCATTTTCATTTCATCTTCCTCATTTCTCCCTCATTAAATCAACTAAATGATTTTGCATCTTATGCTTTTATGAAATTGTAATAGTTTAGTTTCTGTTGAGTGGAGCAGCTTTGAGCATGATTTCATTGAAGATAGTTTAGCTGAATCAAAAGAACTTTCCAGCAAGCTTGTGCCTGCTGAACCAGAAAAGCTTGAACAGGGAAGCACAGTGTGGAATGCGAAGGTGGGTCATTTGTAAATGTAGCATCAATGTAAAGCTATAGTTTCGTTTTTCTTCATTACGGGTGTTTTCTTAAGCCATTTGAACATAATATCTTAATGATGGAACTGAGTTGTTGATTAAAGCATTTAAACTTTGAATGTTTGCTTTGGTATTAATGTAACTTCCATTTCAGTAGTGGTTTTAAGAATCCAACTTCATTGAACTAATGTGCTACTTTGGATCCGAGTTTCTTGAAATAATGGTATTTCTTGTTTGGCTTGCAATTGAAAGGACTTGGCTTCCAGCAGTGCTTGCCTTAAAACTCTGTTAATTTGGTTGAATTGGCATTATAATTACTTGGTACTTTGGTGTTATTCCTTATGTTGCAAGTACCCTTAGATGATCTTTTCTTGTTTGTTTCAACTAGAGGACTATTGCATAGAATCTAGTTTCCCAACAGTTTTCTTTTGTTATCCACACTGTCATGATTAAGCAAAACCTTGAGGGGTATATGTTGGTCAATTCACTATAAAGATAATCAGATATACTCCTGCACATAGTTTGTTAATTTGTTATGGAACTCATTTGAACATACTGAAGTATTGTAAGGATTTATGCATTTTGTCGAAGTTCATATGCTGAAAGGAAGAGAATTCTTTCTTGCTGTCAAAGTTATTGTATCATATTTTGACTTTTATGACAGTGAAAACCTGTAGAAGGACGGGGGAAGAGAATTCTTTTGTAAAATTCATGGGTATAATTCCTGCATGATTTAAAATCTATAACCTGCTTTTCCCTTTGAAGTTCTTTGATAGGAATAATATTTACGATTTATATCAAATATGATTTGAACCATGCTTTACTAATGTATTTGGTTTTGTTCAGATGGTTTTGATGAGTGGATTAAGCAGGAGTGATTTGGAAGAGCTGTCATCTGAAAAAGTCCCTGATGACGACCGCATACCTCATATTTGCAATATTCTAAGGTTTGCTGTTCTTAAAAAGGACCATTCTTTCATGGCAATTGGTGGGCCTTGTGTTTATGCTGATGGAAGCAATCCTACTGGTGATGAGTTCTCTCTAATTCAAACGGCCCTTAGGTTTGTCCTGTCCAGTTCTAATTGAATGCTATGTATATCATGATTCATTTATCATCTGGAGAATTATTTTACTGGAGCAGGTATGCAAAGGAAGTTGTTAATCTTGATTTGAAGAAATGTCAGAATTGGAATCCTTTCCTTGAGGTATTATTATTCATTCTGATTATCACTAGAAACCTTGTGATGAAGTGGCAAAAACTGATAAAAGCATTTCTGCTTTTGGTCTGAATCTTTTTAATCACAATAATTCTTCGCGATCCTCATTTATTTTATTTTTTTGAACCTATTGCTCAGGCTTAATTGTAAAAATGTTCATTCTATTGGACTTGAAATCCTTTTACATTGTTATTTCTCAGCACCCACGATCAGCCCTTTTATTGGTTTATGTATTTGTTATTTTTGGTCATTGTCTAGACCAGCCACTCATGGCGCCATCAAGGCATCAAGGATGGTTAATCTTTATCTGGTCTTCATCATGAAAGTAATTTGGGGAAATTAGTATTTAAAACTTAAGGAAATATGCAACTATACATGATGGCAAAATGGTTGCTTAAACACAAGGGAGTTTTCTAAATTATAGTTGGTTGATACTGTTGAATTGTGCAAAACTTTCTGGTTTCTAGTTTAGTGGGTAGCAAGAATTCATTATGGCATTTTCTATCAGATGAGCTCAGAAGTTGTATTCAATTTTTTCTTGCTGTATCTCAACTTAAATTTTGTTCCTTAGACATACAAGAATCTATTTTGACTTTTGAGCGCTTTTGGTCGTTTGCAGATACATTACGACAGAATTGGCAAGGATGGGCTGTTTAGCCATAAAGAGGTCACGGTACTGTTTGTTCCAGATTTATCTGAATGTCTCCCTTCACTTTATACATGGCGAGCCCAATGGTTAGCTCACAGAAAAGCTGTTTCCGAGAGGGAGCGCCAGCTGTGTTTGAAAAGAGAGGTATTGTCCTATTTTGTATTTTTTCTGCCTTTTCTGTTAGGTTTCCTGATCTCAATTGAATGTCCAAAGAAATGCATCTGTGTATTTATGCATGGGCCTGGTTAAGAAGACGCATATGCTTAGTCTATTCATGTGAAATGTGAACCTGTGATTTATAAGCAGACACGTTGGTTCACAGAACAACATACCACAAACTGGAAGTACTAACAGAATGCAAAATGCCAAAATCTTTGTTGGATTATGCTTTACTTAAATGCATGTCATGCATGCTGAACTTCTTGATCCCTGGACTTGTGTCAAATTTCTGAAGATTTTGTACAGACAATAGATTTGAGCATTGCATGCAAGGAAACTGTCAATTCCAAACCACTTGATCAGTTTTGTGTTAAGATGGAAATATCGGTGCCCTTAGTTTCTTATAACTTTCTCAATATGTATATATATTGTAATAGAAATGACCATCCAGCTCGGTTGGTAGAGCACAAGGTTCTTAACCTTGAGGTCGTGGGATTGAGTCCCACGGAGGGCATTTCATAATTTGGAGGTCTCCCATGGAAGCTGTTCTCAACTTGGTGTTGGGGGCAGCCTATTATCTTACCTCCCCTTTACCCTATTACATATGGGAATAAGGGTTGGCTATATATATATTGTAATAAAATAAGGAATAGTGAAGGTGTTACCTACTTGACTAATGGAATTTTTTTTTTTACTTTCAGAAATCAAAGGAGAGGAAGGAAGGATCAAAAGGTGAATTGATTATTTACAAATTTCATCATCTTATACATTTTCTTACATATATTCTATGGGCAGATCAGTAATGAATTGGGTCAATATTTTTCCCTTTACTTCATTTTTTCATTTATGTTGACTAGACAAGGAAGCAGATTATACAAAACAAACTGAAAAAGGAAAATCTGGGAAAAAAATTCAGTCTGTGTCATCTAGTTATGGAGTTGTTGCTAACAAAAAGGAGAAAGATGGAAAATCTATTGAAGGAGGTGCTGCTGAAGGAAAGGTTACTGGGGGTGAAAATAAAGTTCAGGTGAAGGATGGCTGTGAAATAACTGTTGAAGGAGGTCCTGAGAAAAAAGAAAGTGGAGAAGCTCCTGTTGCTGCTGCTGCTGCTGCTGCTGCTAAGACAGGTGCTGTGAAGTCTGTGAAGAAAAAGATTATAAAGAGGATTGTCAAACAGAAAGTTGCAACTAAGACAGCTGTGGAAGTAAATACTGCTAGCAAACAGAGCAACAAGGTTGATGAAGATGTTGGAGAGCAGAACACTATATCAGAGACTACCGGTCAACAGGAAGAATCATCTGCTGCTAGTGCCGGGATGAAAACTTTTGTACGGGAAAAAATTACAAAAAAGGAAGCTGCTGGTAAAAATGATCAGAGTGAAGATAATGGTGTTCCCCCTGAGGCAAAAGTGGACGTAGAAACAGGATGCTCTGAAGATAAGCCAAAGGATAATTCAGATGCGACTTCTGCAGCTGTAGAGAATGCCAATGTGAAAACAACTATAAAGAAGAAAATTATTAAGAGGGTGCCTAAAAGAAAGGTTCCTCCTACACAAGCTAAGGGCGAAGTAGCTGAAATTAAGAATGAAGGTGGTGAGGATGACAAAAAGGTGCTTCAGGGTGGTGACGAGACCTCAAATTCAGAAAAACTAAGTATTGCTGCAAGTTCAAGTAAATCAGAAATCAAGGCTGACAAGGAGAATAAAAAGGATGCAAAGTTAACTAATGTGGAGTCACTGAGTGACAAGAAAAAGGTTAACACGAAGGATACTTGTGATGTTAAGGGGGGGCAATTGAAGGAGGTGGGAAAACCAAAAGATAAAGATTTTAAAGATGAATCCCAGAGTAATTCTAGCAAAGAATCAAAAGAAAGGAGGAAGCCTGAAGAACCTTCTCTGAAGCATCCTGGATTGATTCTACAAACAAAGTGGAGCAAGGATTCTAAAGTAAGTTAATGATATTTTTGAAGCATGGGCTGTGAAGGAAAATGTTTTTTATTCATAAACTATCTAATTTTCTGTATTTGTCTAATTATGAGTTTTAATGCCTGCAGTTGCGACCAATGTCCCTTTCACTGGATTCACTTTTGGATTATACTGATAAGGACATTGAAGAATCCACATTTGAGGTTTTGTTTTCCTCATTACCTTTCTGCCTTAATATCTACAATTTTTAATATTGCCATCTTATATAGATTATCATTTATAACTTCATGACATCTGAAGCAATTATTTTTCTTACTTTATTTACATCTTGTCCATTCCATTTTTGCAGCTTTCATTATTTGCAGAGGTGATGTATGAAATGCTTCAGTATCAAATGGGTTGCCGTATTTTAACATTTCTCCAGGTTGGTTTATGAAGATTATTGCTTATTTTACTTTATTCCTATAAAAAGATTTTTCACTGACATCCTTTTTCACTGTGTAGAAACTGCGAGTGAGATTTATGAGCAAAAGAAATCAGCGCAAGAGACAACGGGAAGAAATCCATGATAAGGAAACCAAGAACAAGTCACCAATGAAAAAATCAAAAGGCAGTGAGCTCCCTGTGAAGGAAAATGAATCTGCTAAGGCAGACGCATTAAGTGCAGCTCAGCAGGACGTTAAAATGACTGTGACCAAGGAAGAAATTACTGCTGATCATGTTGAGGAGCCAAAGAAGACAGCGACAGAAAATATTGCTGATCATGTTGAGGAGCCAAACATAAAAGATGAAATAGACGAAGATTCGGAGGAAGATCCTGAAGAATATGAAGAAATGGATGATACAAATCAACAACCCAAATCCTCTAATGAGGTAAAGTTTCCTCCTGTTTGCACGGGAAGGCTGAAATGATTTTTGTTGAACATTATTTTCACTTGAGGGTTTCTGGACACATCCCTTGAATTTCAATCATGTGGCTATGTGCTACTAATATTTTATGTTATATTATGATCGATTTTCCATTTTACACCTGGATTACTGTAGGGTAATTTGTCTTGGTGAATTCATTTTTATATGATAGTGTTGTTATTTATCCTTATCAATGAAAGAATTGTAACTCAGAAAAATGAAGAGAAGGCACGAACAGATGCTAAGCCTGACAAGGAGGTTGAGAAGAGTGAAGCTGCAGCATCCACCAAATCAGAATTCGCCACAAAAGCTGCTAGTACGGAGCCTGGGCCTGAGGGAGATGTGTCTAGAAAGGAGGAGCAGAAAGTTGATCCTAAGAAGGTGTATGCTACCGATAAGGATTTGTTGCAGGTATTTTCCAATTCACTCTAATTTCCCTTTGCCTTAAGTCTTTTCCTCTTAATGTAGTGGGGATTGTCTTTCTTCCCTTATTAATGGAAGTCTCCCTTGTAATAGGCTTTCAGGTTTTTTGACCGGAATCGAGTTGGCTATATTAGGGTAAGACAAATACTTGATTGGTATATATTCTCTCACACTAGTGATAGTGACCATTTATTATTATTATGCAGGTGGAAGACATGAGATTGATTATCCACAGTTTGGGGAAGTTTCTTTCTCATAGGGATGTCAAAGTAAGATTGCTTTTGCAGTTGTTTGTGTCATATAATCTGGTTTTTATATGGTTATTCGTGCACTATGGTTATTGAATCACCTTTGTTTACCTGCATCAGGAACTAGTGCAAAGTGCACTTTTAGAGAGCAACACAGGAAGGGATGACCACATTCTGTATGACAAACTGGTTCGAATGTCTGACATATGAAATTGTTTTGGGCATGACTGATATAATATGTTATATAATCTGCTTTGCATCTATTGGTAAACAGCCATTAAAGGGTGTGATTCCTAGGAGCTCAAGTCTGAGTCTCAGATATTTGAATGAAATCACTCTTAATGTCAGCCATTCAGATTGGTTGCTCATGGCAGTCTGTGTGATGGACTTGGAGATGCGACTATTGTTACGTCACAGATCCTAATTATTTTTAAAACAAAGTTTCACTATTAATTATCACTATTTCGCATTTCGAAAGTAGTAATGAATTAGAATATATAAACTCATTATAATTCAGACGTCTAGCTCTAGCATCATGTTTAATATGTAGAAAAAGTCTTTACGCTTGTCTTGATGTTTTATTATGGTCTTTACTATTTCTCCATGTAAAATATACTAGTTAAAATTACACCTAGTCGGTCGAATGATGGTAGCTTGGAAGGATTTTTTTTTGGACGAGGGGCGAAAGCCATTACAAACAACTAATGTCTAAGATCTGAAGGACCATAAAGATCCCTAAAAAAATACTCATCAGATCCCTAAACAAATATTCATCAGATCCCTGGAGTAGCTCCAAGAAAAACGTTGGTTATACAATAAACAGAAGGTGGCAGTTTGACCATAAAGTCTGCAGTGAAGTTTGCTTCACGACGAACCAAGATAAACTTGACAAATCAAACCTTGGAGGTAAAGCTAGTGATTGTTCGGACGAGTGCAAGAGAACTCAAGTGTGCTGTAGCAGAGTAATAAGTTTGAAAGCTTCGGCACAATCAATTTGACACTGTAGCACTCAAAACCTTTAGTCCAAATAATGCGTAGCCTTTTTAAGATACCTCAGAGTTCGTCTAATTGTTGTTTGTTGGATTAACTTGTGACTTTTATTTGATTATCTTGACTAACTTTTTCAACCGATGCTTAAACTTGAGATTTGACAACATTCTTGAGGGAATCTTTTGAGTTCAGTTTGAAGTGGTTTGAAGATCTCAATGTGCTTGTTCAAACCTACTATCCATTCGTCTTCATGGTTCCTGATAAGACCTCCCGCAGAGCCAACAGAAAATAAAGGGAAAACAACGTTATTTGTGTTGAGGATGGCCCATCTACATGGAGCTGGAAGCCATTGAATTTTTTCTTGTTAAAAACATTTTGATGTTTCAATATAACAAATTAAGATAAATGAATTTTAAGATTTTACAAATGATTTTCTAAGTATATTCGATACAATTATTCGAATATCAAAATATTACTCCAAGTCTTTCAAAATTTAATTCCAATCCTTACTAAAGTGTAAAATTGTGTTTTATACTTAAAATATTTTTGAAACAATTTTTACAAAGTATTTCAAACAAAAAACGAACCAAAAATTCAATTTTCAAAGGGATGCACCGATGCACTACTTCATGCATCGATGCACTCCTAATTAAATTGAATTTCGAATGCATTCAGTGCACCGATGCACAAGCCATGCATCGATGCACCCCTGAATATTTTGAAACATCGAATGCATTCAGTGCACCGATGTGTGCACCGATGCACAAGACATGCATTGATGCACCCTGATTATTTTGAAACATCGAAGCTGATTTGTGCACCGATGCACACCCTAGTGCACCGATGCACTTGGACAACCAACGGTCGAAATATTTGAATTTTACACTTGATGCATGATGCACCTTGACTATGCATCGATGCACACACACTCCCAACTGATTTTATTAATTATTTTTACACAATAACGACTCTATTATCTCTACTAATGATCCCCAACGTTAAAAAATGATCCAAGGAGTATTTAAACAAGCTTAGAAGCCATTGATCAACAACAAGAAACAACAATCATCAAGAATCAAAGAGAAATCATCAAACCTCAAGTTTGAGCATTTTCAAGCCTATTTCATTCAATATTCATTTTTGCTTTCAAGAACACTTGTTGTGCTCAATTGTATTATTCTTGAGTTTTCTTTCTTTGTTCTAGAATTGTGCAAAGATCTTTCCTTGTGAGGATTTTCTTATAAGTTTACAAAATTTGTATTGTTTCTCTTTGGGAGAGTGTGTTCTCAAGAATTTAGGGTATAATTCTTGAGGGATTTGTAAGGTTACTTTTTGTCCTCAAAAGAAAGACAAATTAGTGAATTTGTGGAAAATCCTTACTGTGGATAGCTAAGGTAGTGGACGTAGACTTTTGTTGAGAAAGTCGAACCACTCTAAATCTATGTGCAAATATTTTTAATTTTCTGCAAAAGCTTCCACCGAAATTTTTATTGCCAATTCACCCACTCTTGACCTATTCCATCGATCGATTAACTCAACAATTGGTATCAGAGTTTGACTCATTTGAAGGTTTAATCGCCTCTTGAGTAGATCCGGGAATAGTTACATCGATAATCAAGTCATCAATGGTCTCCACTTCAAACTCTGACTTCGGTCTTGATTCATTGCCCGTCAACAAGCCTCCTTTCTTCAATGAAGCTAATTATACTTATTGGAAGAATATGATGATGTATTTCATTCAAGCAAGTGACATGAGAGCATGAAATATTATAGAAGACGGATACATCAAGCCTTCCACTCATCCAAGATTGTGGAGTGAAGGAGAGACAAGAATTTTCCAGCTCAACTCCAAAGCCATCCATATTATCTTTTATGCTCTTGGACCAGATGAATACGGGAGAGTTTAATCTTGTACAACCGCCAAGGAGATATGGGACAAACTATAAGTCACTCATGAAGGCACAAATGAGGTAAAAGAATCTAAAATTAGTCTTCTAACTCATAGCTATGAAAATTTCAGGATGAAACCGGATGAAGATATCAAAGCTATGACGGATAGATTCTCCACAATTGTCAATGGTCTCAAATCATATGGAGAAATCATTCCAAATGACAAGTTTGTGAGGAAGTTAGTTTACTCTCTTCCAAAAGCTTGGCAATCAAAGAAGACGACGATCATCGAGGCTAAAAATTTAAAAATTTTAACCCTCGATGAGCTTATTGGTTCTCTCCTCACTCATGAAATGATGCTTAAAGAAGAGGAAGATCTTGAGAGAAGAGACGAACCAAAGAAGGAGACGGAGAAGAAGAAAAACATTGGAGTTGCTCTCAAATCAACAAAAGATGAGAGTGATTCGGATGAAGATGACGATGACGAGGAAATGACATTGTTTGCCAAAAGATTCAGAAAAATGATGAGGCCAAACCGAGGAAGAAAATTCAAATGAAATGAAGGTTTCAATAATGAACCAAAAGAGAAGGACCCGATCATTTGCTATGAATGCAAAAAGCCGGGGCATGTCAAATATGATTTCCCACAATTGAAGAAAAAGTGTCAATAAAAGAATAAACACAAGGCTCACGTGGCTACATGGAGTGATGAAGAAGGTTCCGATGAAGATGAACAAGAAGTTGCAAACTTGTGCTTGATGACTATTGGGGAAAACTCCCAGGTAACCTCTAACTCATTTGATTTAGATGATTTATTAGAGGAATATACTGGGTTGGCTTCGGATTATGAGAAATTATTTTTAAAATACAAAAATGATATTTCAAAAATGAAAAATGAAAATAATCTCATATTCAAAACCAACAATGATCTTGAAGGTAAAATCAAAGATTTGCAAATCAAACTAGAAGAGTTTGAAAAGAAAAATTCTGATTTGCAAAATTTACTTTCAAAGGTCAATGATGATCATCAAAAGAAAATTGATGATCTTAAAACTTCTTTTGATAAAGTTGGAACAAAACATTTTGGAAATGGAGAAAGTTCAAAATCCAACTTTGTTAGAAAAAGTTTTAAAAACTACAATCATAGAGGTCCCCGAAGAATCTCTAATGGAAAAATCGTTAGAAGTACATGGGTTCCTAAAGAACTCATTACTACTGAAGATAAGGATATCCTACACAAATGGATACCTAAGGGGACTAGAATTTTGGAGACTAATGAATATGAACCCAAAAGAATTTGGGTACCAAAAATAAAAAATTAATCTATGTTTGTAGGGAAATGAGCATTGCTACAAGGCATGAGAAACAAATTCAAATTCTTGGTACCTTGATAGTGGATGCTCAAGACATATGACCGGAGATAAGAGCCAGTTCATAGAGCTTAAAGTCAAAAATGGAGGAGATGTGACTTTTGGTGATAATTCAAAAGGGCACATTGAATGTATAGGTACAATAGGTAATAAATCTTCCATACAAATTAAGAATGTTTTATATGTGAATGGATTAAAGCATAATCTATTGAGTATTAGTCAATTATACGATAAGGGATTCAATGTCATTTTTGAAACTAATGGTTGTAAAGTCATTGACATTGCATCTAATCGGATTATGCTGATAAACATGATAGTTGGTTATGACATAGGAGACTAGGACATGCTAGTATGAGTGTTTTGCAACGGTTAATTCAAAGAGATTTAGTTCGAGGATTGCCTAAACTAAAATTTGATAATGATAAAATCTGTGATGCTTGTGCTAAAGGAAAACAAAAGTGAATTTCTTTTAAATCCATTAATGACGTTTCCACTAGTAGAGTATTACAATTGATCTATTTAGATCTTTTTGGGCCATCTAGGACTACAAGCTTGGGTGGAAAACAATATGCATTTGTCTTGGTAGATGACTACTTTAGATATACTTGGGTTCTATTCTTAAGTACTAAAGATGAAGCATTAGAAAAATTTATCACGTTTTCAAAACTAATCCAAAATGAAAAATGTTACTCTATAACTAGTATTAGGAGTGATCATGGAACTGAGTTTGAAAATCTTGGATTTATTGAATTTTGTAATTCTAATGGTATTAGCCATAATTTTTTAGCACCTATAACCCCTTAACAAAATGGAGTTGTTGAGAGGAAAAATCGAACTTTAGAAGAAATGGCTAGAACCATGCTTTGTGAAAACAATTTGCCAAAATATTTTTGGGCAGAAGCCACAAATACCGCTTGTTATTTTATTAATCGAGTAATGATTAGACATATTTTGAAGAAAAATCCATATGAACTTTTTAAAAATAAAAAACCTAACATTAGCTATTTTCATCCTTTTGGATGTAAATGTTTTGTTTTAAACGGCGGTAAAGAAAATCTTGGCAAATTTGATGCTAAAA